CATAATTTCTAACTTTCTATTTTGAAAATACGCTGCAGAAATTGGATCCAAATTAGAAATATCCATTTTTATAATTTGTTCTTCTTTCTCAATCTTATCCAATTCTTGTTTCTCTTGACTTTGTTCAATTATTATGGCTTGTTGCTCTAACATAATTTTCCTGTCTTGTTTCTTCTGATCCTTAATTTCAATTAGAGTATCCCTAAATTGTTGTAAGAGATGCGTTAAAATTACATCCCCAACTTTATTTTTTTTTTTGTCTACGTTTAAGTTGTTTCTTTGCAACCTTATGACCGATTAGTCTATCTTGATAAATTAATGGTTCATTATCTTCTCCTAAACTAACAGAATCAAAGGTAAATGGAGTTGATGAAGCTGGATTTGCATTGACATGACCTTTTTGTTTATTATTTGACCTTATCTGTTGACTTGCATGCTTAAATTGTCATTTGGGTTCTTGTCTTAAGATAACCCAACAATATTCTAGTTGAAATCATTTGTCAATGCAAGAAGCATACATTTGCCGAGCATTATTAATTTGATAAATAAATAAATAAATAAAATAATGTTAAAATATGTGTTAAACAATTTAACATAGAAATAAATATTAACATTACCCTTGATTATTCGGTCATTCTACTTTGCTGATGATTTTCAATTTGAGTAACAAATCCAATAAATTTACTGACTTCTCTATTTATTTCTTGCCATCTACTTGAGATGCTTATTTGTGAATGATTATTCAAGTTTACTCCATTCTTTGCAAAGTAAACATATACGCGAGTCTAGAACTGTTTTGTTTGTTATTCAACTCCTATAATTGGATCCTTGTTTATATTTAGCCATGCAGAGACAAGCAAACAATCCTCTTCTGGTGAGAAATTTTTGCTTCTTTGTGATTTTTTTTGCCGAATGGACATTTAAATTCGAGCATGTTAAGTCATTAATTAATTGATTAGAATCACTTGGTTGAGAGAGAATATTTTCTGACTCATTCATAAGAAAATTGGTAAAATAACTTGGAAAATTTGAATCCATCTACATTAAAAAAAGACTCAAGTTAAAACCTTATAAGAGAGTGTAAAAGAAGCTCACATTCAATGTCTAGTAATTTTGTAGTTTTCATACATGCGAATTAATAATAAACATTGCCTTCTACTTCGTTCTAACATAATAATTTGACTATTTTTTGGAACTAAAAGAGAATCGATATACTGGTTTAATTGCATTTTCAACAAGACAAAATATAATTGACCTCAAATTAATACAGACAATCAAAAATAAATTTTAAATATGTCACTCTATCTTTTTATCAATATCAACTAACATTATTAATTCCTCTCAATTTTATCAAAGATAGCAACATAAATAAAAATTGTCTTCCTTAACCCATATTAAAAACATAAAATAATAAAGAAATAAAAATCATCGCAAATATTAAATTAACAACGAAAGGTCTAAAAAATCAAGAGATATAAAAAAGAAAATAGAAAAAGCTTTTAAACAAGCATACTTTTTAATTTCAGCTAATTAACACAACCGATGTTAATAATTAATCGGAGAATAATTAATTCTTGTTTTTCTAAATGTGAGAGAAGGGTGAGACACAATACAAAATTTTAAAACTACAAATTTTTTCTTCATGCATTTAAAGAAAATTTCTTCTATATTTAAAGAAAAAAAAAGAGTTGTTGGCCAATGGCTATAAAAATAGCTGTTGGCCAACAGTTATTACTTTGGCCATTTCTATAGTGAAATGTAGAAATGGTTGCCAAGTAAATAAATAGCTAAAATGACTATTTGTTTAGCTGCTCCGTTGGAATGTAAAAAGTAAAAGAATAAAAGTTAAAGTATATTTGCCTTTTTATTTAGCTCGTGGGTTGGAGTTGCTCTAACATATGGAAATGTAGTTGTATTTGTATTTTTTTAAAAAATATTTTTTTATTAAAAATTAATTTTTTATATATTTTTGATTATTTTGATGAGCTAATTTTTAAAAATAAAAAATATTTTAATATAAAAAACTTTAAAAAATAATTATAATCACACTTCTATACAAGCAATAGATCCTATGATAAAAAAACTCGGTAAAACACAAGTTTAAGGGTTGTCAAATGAAACTATCAACATTTGTTTACTTTATTTTGCTGCTTACACACACAGGCTTGTTTTGCTCATCTTGTAAAGTTGGTTTTGTGAATGGTTCTTTACTGATGAATGTTATAAAAACATACTCATGGTAGCTTTTTTGTTTTAGTCGACACGAACAATGGTGTTTAGGGCTTATAATTAGGTCAATCAATTATTCTTTCGACGATTTATCACTCAAATTATTAGTAATTACTTGTCTACGGTATTGTTTCTGGTATTGTTTCTGATGCTACTAATATTACCTAATGATAATATTGATATTAGTATTAGTATCGATAATAATATTAATATTAATATTAATATTCTCTTGATTAATATTTTAGAAATAACAAGAAATGAAATCAATAATGTTGGTGTTAGTTTACATGCTAATAAATTGTTTGTTTTAAACTTGATGATTATTAGTTAATGAAATGAATATAATTATTTTATAAGAAATTTTTAAGTTAAATTATATATAAATTTTTATTTTAATTGTGTTATATTATTATTTATAACTCGGCTGAAATCATCTATATAATTATTTATTTTTTTAATTATATTTAATAATTTTGATGAAGTCTTATTTTTAGGATTTAACATTAATTTTTTTTAAAATAATTAACAATGTTAAATTTCTCATATCTAATGTGGGCTCAATACTTGTTTTTAATAATTTCAACAAGATTTGTTTTTTAGAATTTAACATCAAAATTTATAAAATAATTGTCTAGTCTTATTTTTTAAAGGACCATGTCAAAATCTTCATATCAAATACGGATCCAAGTCCCAGCACTTGTTTTTAACAATTTCAATGAATTTTTTTTTAGGATTTAAAATTAATATTTTTAAAATAATCGAAAACTCTCATTCTTTAAAGATATTGATGTTAAATTACCTCAATTCAATGAAAACTTTTTCTTTAAGGACTAATATTAAAGAAAACTTTTATTATTAGAGATTAATATTAAATTTTTCATTAAAAATTATATTTTGACGAGTTTTTTATTTTAGAAATTAATATCATTTTTTACTGAATCTTCTATTTTTAAATATTAATATCAACATTCAAAATAAATTACAAATAAACTTTAAATGCTACAACCTAGATTAATTTAGAAAAACACAATTCATAATAACTTTTCATATAAAAAATATAATAAAAATGATATTTACTTTCCTCTAAACATAACCACCTCAGTTATTAAATCTCCATAACTAATGTTAATTTTAAAAATTTTTATGTAATTACCACTTGATGGTTCTAATTATTTTATTTTTCTCCTCGTATAATTTTTAAATGTCACATCACCGTGTCTATTATGATATGACAACTTTATTATTATTATTATTATTACACATTATACTGAAAATTAAAAGTGATAGGTATTTCATTATACCACGTGGACTATTGTGGGCTGTATTATTTTCTTATAATGTAATCTTTAAAAGTTTAGTTCATTTCTTAATTTTTTCTTTAAAAGTTCAATTTAAGCTCTATATTTTTTTACTTTTTCACTTTTGGTTTTATAGTTTAAGATATTTATATATCAGTATTAAAATTTAATTTTTCTCATATTTTAATTTTTAGATGTTAATAAAGAAGATAATCATTGAAAAGAAATTTTTTTTTGATAGTTCACATTTCAACTACAAAAAATATTAATTTTAATATTAGTTAATGTTTTTTAAAAGAAAATTGAATGGAGGTGCATACTAATCCCTTCAAGCACTAACATGCTTGACCTTTTTGCTAAATATCCCTTAACATATTTTTTTTCTTTTTAAATTTTGAAATAAAATTCTCTTTTAAATGAATTTATTAAAATAATATTTTAGTAGCTATTCAATTATATCATTATTTTTTATAATAATAATAGTAATTAATTTATGAATAATCATGTATTAGCCTAAAATGCATTTTTTAAAGAATACTGCTCATTAATATTGAATTATAATAAAATATCTATTCATTTTTTATTTTAAGTTTTTAATATGTTTTTCTTATATTTAATCTTCTTATATAAACATGTAAAAATGATCAATTCATAGTTATTTTTTTATTTTTAATTAAAACTTGTTTTCACTATCATAATAAGTTTTCTCCTAAAAAAAGACATGTTTTTGTTAAAAAAGAAGCTGAATAAAGAAATGAAATTTCTAATAAAAATACACATTTATTTCTTTTTAATATATTATTAGAATATTTTTTGATGCTAACAAATGAATTAAAAAAGACAATTTTGACCCAAAAAAATTTCCCAACAATTCCACTCATTATCTTGTCTTGGAATATCTATTATTATTATAATATAATTAAATAAAAATATATTTCACAAGTGCCTAGCAGCTGGGCGGGTAATATAGCCGGTGATATGCTACTCAAATTTAGCCACCTGTTTTCCCATTTTTTCACCGCATCTGCCCGGCGTTGTCCGTACGCCATCCTTTAAAATAGTGATTTGTTAGAACCCCAAAATTGAAAGAAAACCCTATCTGTCTCCCCGCGTCAATTCCAAGCTTTTGAAAAAACCATACCAGGATACCCTCTCTGTTTCTTTCTCTCTCTAAAATTTGAATCCGGACCGGATCCATCGATTTCGATCCGTTAAATTAAAAAAACTTCATTTTTCTCTCTCTAGAAAATCAAACCATCAGTAATGAGGAAAGGAGCCAAGAGAAAGAGAAGCCAGAAAGAAGAAGCTGCTCCTGCTCCTGCTCCTGACAACCACAAAACCACCGAATCGACCAAGCCACCTACTAGAGCTAAGCGGGTCAAGGCATCCAAACCCGAATCCGAACCTGAATACTTCGAGGACCAGCGCAACTTGGTGCTCTAATCTTTCACTCACACGCATTATTTTTTTTCAATTAATTAATTAGTTAATTTTTTGTTGAAGAATTCATGGATAACTTGTTGAATTTCTGTTTCTTAACAGGTTTTTTGAAAAATAATATAATCGGATTTTTTCTTAGGTTATTTACATTGTTAATTAATTAAAAGACTGGAAAAGTTTAGTGTTAAGTTTAAGGTCAATAGATGCAGTTTGTTAGTTCATTTTTTTTTCGAATTCTGGCTCAGTTAGGTTAAAATTCTTAAACTGTGTGGTGTTTTTATAGCAAGGCTATTTTGCAATTTTTTTGGTTGAATTTGTGAGAGTGCGGTGTTGTTTTTAAGTTGGAACTCGAAAGTAAGCGTTGTGAAATTGTTTTCTTATGCAGGAAGATTTATGGAAGCAAATATTCCCCGTCGGTACAGAGGTTAGGTTTTGATTTTTTATTCTGTTCTTTGCTTTGTTGGCTGAATTAATTATGTTGCTTATGGTTCTTCTTTCCTTTTGGTTTACAGTGGGATCAATTGGACAAGGTTTACGGATTTAACTGGAATTTCTCTAATCTAGAGGTGGATGTCATCAAATAACCTATGCCTTTCTTTTTTGTTATTTTTTTGGTAGAGTAGCGCCGCAGATAATTCTTAGTATGTATGTAAACTGAAATTACAACTCTTACTGGTCAGAATGCATTTGAAGAAGGAGGTGTTCTACATGGGAAGACAGTTTACCTTTTTGGGTGCACAGAGCGTGAGTTTCTTTTTAACTTGAAACACCAAATTTTTTCTAAAGTCTAAACAGGCTTCTCTAAATGGGTGGACATTGCATTGTTTTTGCTTGGTTTTCCCGTGTCCTGTCCTTTTCATTTGTCACGTGAATCTTACTTTGTTTCTTGTGTTTCTTCAGCTCAACTGGTCCCTTTCAAGGATGAAAACATATTAATCTACATACCTGCAGTGGTGGCGGTAAGTTTACTGAAACAGTTGCTTTTGCATGCAATCTAATGTACATGTGTTCATCTGTGAAATTTGTTAAGGAGTGGACTTTACAAATTTCTTATCATCATATATTTTTAATTTGGTTTTTATTCATGATAAAAGCAACATACTTCATTTTGTATAAGGTTTAACTTTGCGTCTGGTTATGGCATTCACAGGTGTTCATCTGTGAAATTTGTTTCAAAAACACTAGATATAGATGTCTGAGAAGTGCTTCCTTGCATTAAAGCATATTGTGGGAGTGAAAAGTCATAGAACCCATACACTATATTTCTCATATTTCCTTTATGGCATTAGCAGGATCATAGAACTCTCTTTTCAAAGTTGGGAAGTGAGAATGCTGGTTCTGCAATTGTCCCCACCTTTACGCGTAGTCGAACCTCATATAAAATGAACTTAAAAAGGCCTATGTTTTATTATGAAGACATCCACTTTGTGTGGTTCTCGAGGCTTGAGACGAAGAGCTTGAGAATTTGTGTCTTGTATTGTTACTTTTCCAACACCACTTTTTTTCTTCCTAAGAGTTGCCTCATCACATGTTTCTTCATCTGTTCTAATTTCAGAATTACAGTTGCTGATTGGTGTTGTTGTGAAGACAAGCGCCTCTAGTCTTTTTATTTTTTCCTGAAAAAAAATCCTCTGAATTAATGGAAGTATGTCATTTCTTGCTGCTGTATTTCTCTTTGTTAAACATTTTATTTTACAGGTTGTATCTCCTTTCCCTCCTTCTGATAAGATTGGAATTAAGTCAGTTCAGAGGGAGGTTGAAGAAATAATTCCCATGAAGCAAATGAAAATGGACTGGGTTCCTTACATACCTTTGGAAGACAGGTATTCCAAATTAGATTTCTAATTGATTTCATGCAGTTTCTCTCTTCTCAAATAATCTCTTAAGTTGCATTTTTTGTTCAATGTCTCTTTGTAACTTAAATCCTTCTCCAGAGAAAGCCGAGTTGATAGATTGAGACATCAGATTTTTATTTTGAGTTGCACTCAGAGAAGGTATCTCTCCCCCCTCTCAATCTTCCTGCCTATTTATTTATTTATATTTATAGATATCATATAATTTCTAGTATTTTGTATGAGGTTGTTTCTTTCCCTATGGTTATTACTTAACCCCCCCTCTCAATCTTCCTCACTATTTATTTACTTATATTTTTATCTGCATTTTAAAGTTCCTTGAGCTATATGTATGGAGCACTGTTCTGATAGGAAGTTGGTTTTTGCATGTAGATTCTTAGTTATCCATTGGTTTTTGTATGCAGATTCTTAGTTACCAGGGCAGACTGCTCTTCAATTTCTTTATTGCTTCCCATTTTCACTAAATATATACTACAATCCTACATTGTATTCAAATTTCTTATGGGCATTTGTGGAGAACTGATTTGGCACTTTTTTTCTGTTGGATAATCCAGTTCTCTGTTTCTGTTTTCGAGAACTATTATCATATTATTCATTTAACAGAAATAACTTAACCTTTAGCTATATTCCGGTTTCTAATTTCTCATTTTTCCTTGGTTATATGCACCTTCTAATATGGCAATTGGATGGCATTCTGTTTAATATGTATCGAACAAAATAATGACACATCAGGGATTGAATTTGAACAAAATAGGAGCAAGAGGAAGGTTCAACACTGTTATGCTCATAGATCTGTTAGAAAACTAACTATTAGATCTTCCTTCAGCAGATTCTATTTTTAACATTTTCACTTTAGTAAATCTCTTTTTTTCTCTGATTCGTTAATCATCTGATGTTGAATACACACAAGCATATGATTTTTATGAGCACTATTGAGGTGTGTAGTGTTTCATTGAAATTTTCAGATACTATGATGTGTGTGTATCTTTGCATGTGCCTATTCCTATTCCTGTTGCTTATGCATATGGATTGCTTGCAGGGCTGCTTTGAAACATTTGAAGATTGATCGGATCAAGAAATATGAGTACTGCTTACCTTGTGAGTTTTGATGAAATTTTATGATGTTTAGATCGCTGTATTTCACATGAACTTCATTGTACTAAAATAGTTTGTGAAAAGAATGGAAAAAAGTGCCCTTTAAGTTCTCATGAGCACCAAAAGTTTGTGGACCACAACACGGAAATTTTACAGAACCATGTTTGGTTGCTTGTTTGACTAATCAGAGCATAGGATAGTACAGCTCCTGTATCAGCTTTTAGCGTTCTGTCATCTCTTATTGCCAAGGTATGGGGGACTGTTCTATTCCTCTGAAATGCTTCCTTTTTTGACAGATTTCTACAACCCTCTTCAAGAAGATGAGCTTGAGCAGAGCACTGAGGTTCAAATAATTTTCCCATCAGAACCAAAGCCAGTAAGTGAATAGCATGTAAAAGAAATGAATTGATGGAAATGAAAACTTTGGATGTTGACGGATAGCTTGAGTTGAGATTCATTTAGAAATTATAGTTTATATTGTCAGTTAAGCAAACTGTCGTGCTTAGTTTAGTTGCTATGATAAGTGTAGCACTGAGATAAGTGTAGCACTGATATACGATTCTGCAAATTGACCTTTTAGCATTGGTAATTGCAGATTTTCTGTGAATTTGATTGGGAATTAGATGAACTTCAGGTATGATTTATATTTCTGATACTTGTCTTGGTTTGACTTACATGGTTTTTCATGAAGTTGCTTTATTCATTCCTTCATTCTTTTGAATGCTTGATAACCACTATGACATTTGGCCTTGTGGAAGAATTGGTTTGAACGTATGGCTATGGTAGTCATCTTCTAAATCTACCATTTCAGTTTGTAGAATTGGATTGTCTCCTGCATGTTTGAAGGAATTATGTGGAAATGGTGTATGGCTAGTAACATATTCCCAAACTCCTCACCTGACAAGTACAAACTTTGCCTTGATATTTGCTGCCAGGAGTTATTGGGGAATACATTTGTCCGAGAATTTCTCAACTCTGACAAAATTCTTCCATGAACCACCTCCCTACCCATGTAAATAAAGAACAACTAGTTTGTATTAAGATCTATCTATTAACCTGCAGGAGTTCGTTGATAAGCTGATCCAGGAGGAGGAATTATCTGAAGATCAAAAGGATGCCTTTAAGGTGAATTTTATGAAATATATTCAAATATTTCATTGTTTCATCCTATTTTTGTTAATAATTGAACCCTGTATCCTTGTTTTCTTAGGAATTTGTCAAGGAGAAAGTTCGAGAAGCAAAGAAAGCTAATAGAGAGGTAACTTGTTTGGTTCTGTTTGGTTTGCAAGTGCAAGTGGGAGGTCTTTGAGCTGCTTTGTAACAAGTTTCCTTTGGTGCAGGCCAGGGAAGCCAGGAGAAAGGCCCTGGAAGAAATGAGTGAGGAAACTAGAAAAGCGATTGAAAATCTGAGGTTCTACAAGTTCTATCCTGTGCAAACGCCTGATACACCTGACATATCAAAAGTGAAGGTAGAGTGTTACAATATCCACAAGGACATCATTCTGTGAAAGCAGCTTTTGATTAATAGAGTTTGTTTATAGTTTCTATTAATTTTTCTTAAGAATAGGAAATCTAATTGCAGTAGACATTTTACCATGGGACAGCCTGTTGAATATTCAACCTCTGACTTTTTATCATTGAAATGTCACCTGTAGAGAGCTTGGCAGTTTTGACTTCCTTTATGTACTTCCAGTGTACAGCATATATGATGCCCTGCCTTTGACTCGGTATTATGCTTTGAATTACTGAGAGAAAAGGAAAAAAATCTGATTGTGATGCAGACAGTTTGCAACCCTTATGATTACTTTCTCAAGGGAACATCTAGATTTGTTTCCTTAATTCACTCGATTTCCAAGTATTAGTAGATTTTCCTTGGTCAAAGAGGGTAGACCATGAAGTATCAGTAGAACATTCAGACCTTGCACTTTCCTTTTTCCATGAAGTGAATTTACTGAATTCCTTGTGATGTTTGCTGATTTCCCCTTGCAGGCATCATTTATAAACAGGTATTATGGGAAGGCTCATGAGGTTCTGTGAGTGGATACATCTAGGACAGGGATGGCAGTTGCTTGAAGCCTGTTTTGGCTGCAAAGAATCAAATTTAAAGGTTTTGCTTACCATGAAGCTGGGAGGAGCTATGCCTCTAGTGCCGCAGTTTCACTTTATCATTCTAGGTGTCTAGGAGATGCAAACTTTGCAGTTTCAAAACTTTTTGAGAGTCAGTCAGGCGCACATTTTTACTTTAGCAGGCATTTGTAAGATACATTGTTGAGGTTATTCACATTTTCTAGGTATCGGCCGGCAGTGCAATCCACCTGTTGCTCGGATTTCTCTTTGGTTTCCCGTCCATTTCATCCACATTAGTTTTTATGACTAGAAGTTTTAGTCCCAAAACAACGAGTTATAGTATCTCAACATTACAATAAATGACCGAATTTATAATAAATGACTGGATGCCCTTGTAGCTCTTATTTTCGTAATCAGTTCTAAATTTTCCAGGTTGTTTGAGGTACATTGGTGGATAAAGTAACATGTCAGTGTACAAAGCAGCCCACCTTATTTATTTTCAGCACGAACATAACTCTTGGGCAGCTTGGCATACAGTAAAGGTAAATTACATACAGAAAGACTGAAGCTTGATCAGTTGCGAACATGTATGGGAGCTTTCCTTGGCTTCTAACTCTCGGTTCAATCATCCGTTTTACCAGAGAAAAAATGATCTGCCCATTCACCAGGGCCAGCAAATGGCAAGAGACCACAGCACAATGGTAGAAGCAGGAGGGAAGTAGCATAGAAAAGTGATCTCCGGAGCCAATATGGACATATTGTGCTAGGTTTTGTCCCTCGGGCGATGGCCATGACGGTGACTGGCCCGTGAAGCAGACAGAACAATGTTGATGGGCATACATTTGAGAAGAACTGCAGCAAGCATAAAGCTTCCCAATACAGAAGCCAGAGTGATCCACTCCCTCCCAGTGTATCGACACAAAGTTTGCCAGTAAAACCACAGACAGCTCCCAACAGTAGCAGAATGAAAGTTATTGGCATTGTCCGGTGTTGGGATGAGGAACGTTGAACAAGCAAAACAGCAACTGCAAGGATAATTAGGATGCCAAATGCCATTTGGCTCACAACTTGAACTTGACACACGAGTACCTGTAGCCAGGAAGTAAAGGATGAAAAAGGCTTGACGGACCACCCGAATTTGGACTCCTGAAACAGATAACCAGAAACGTAAAAATATTTCCCAGACATCCGGAATGACTGTAACTAGGGCAGAAGAATATATAGCAAAGAAAACAAAAAATCATCTCATCTGCTACTAAAGGAATGGAATAGAAATTGTTCAAAACACAAGACAGAGATAAAAACAATCTTGCATTCTGCTCGTGGTTAGGGCACTGTTTTAGATCGAGATTGCTAAATCATGTTTAAGTTAGAAAAAGGGAATTTGGTCACAATTTCTATTCTGCTCATCAAGTTTCAAACATTATGTAATGATTTGACTATAAAGCCTGCCCAAGCAACTCCCAAGTCCTTACCTTTACCATCTACCTCAAATCCCGAGCTAATATGCTCCTGATTTTATAGTTTTATTTAAAACTTCTCTTTTAATAGCCTCTCTGTTGTTGCTTGGGGAAGCACCTTCGCTAGTACCTAGTACTGGAAAAAGAGCATGTAGAACCAGACCACCATACCAACAAAGATGATGGTTACAGACATCTCAAGAAACTAAATCAAATGACATTAGCAACAAGACATGGTCCTTGCCTTGTGCAAAAGAGAGCAGGATTCAGTAGCTTCTTTGATCCTTCTGTATGAATAAACATAGGCACTGTATGATAGCGAGGCAGACATGATGATCAAACCAGCAACAAGACAGTCCGTGCACTTTCTATGCAGCTCAGCATGCCTTGTGTCTTCTAATTGAGTCTTGAACTTGTCAACTTCAAAGGATGCCTTTGACATGCCCATTACTAATTTTGATCTCCCCAGATAATTTGATTCTGAGGTGAGTTTCAACAAGTCCTCTTCCAACTTCAATTTCTTCATTGCAAGACCAATCTCTATTTCCTTCAGGTCATTAGAACGGGCTTGCTCGACAACAGATCTCTCAATAGTGCTAAACATGTTAATTACAGGGTATGAGCTAGGAGCACAGGCTAGTTGGTTGGTTTGTCTGTGAAGGGCAAGTTCTTGCCCCAAGCAACCCATGAATATGTTCTCTTCTACCTTTTCAAGTATATGTGTTTGATCCCCAGTCAAAGTAGTGGGCAAGTCTGTTTCTGAGTCACAATCTTTGATACCTGTGCTACTGGCACAGCCAACACTTTCATTGGGAGTACTGTCTGAAGCAGAAATATCTAGGTTCTGGTGGATTAAGACAGGTGGTCTCTTGTTGATAGAGGATTCATCAATCAATCTAAGAGTACTCAATGTGCTCCCAAATGAATTCTGAAAATTTCTTGCAAAGAAATCAAATTTGTCACCAAAGACCTGTTGCACATAGGGTGTAAGGTCAGCATTTTGTGGCCTGCCTGATGTTGATAGGTACATGAAGGAACTTGACTTGTAAAACCAGACACAATGGATAAGTGAGCAGTTAAGGTCTCGCTTACACTGGCTAAAGATTCTCTGACAGCTGAAGTGCAGATCTGCATGAAAGTAGACACATGAAGTTCGGTTTTCCCAACATTCCAAACATCAATAGAATTAGAACAAACAGACTTCAAAACAAAGAAGAAGCATGTAAAGGCAAATTTGTCTAATTCATGTGATTTTACTGAGCTGCAGTGAAAAATTTACTAGACGGGCATCTGATTGCATTGTTATCTAAGTATGAACTGTTTAACAAACAGTCCATTTGAGTGACAAAACTAACATGTTCTTCCATATGCAGAATAAAAAAAATGTACGGCAGAAGGGATGTCAACCCATAATAGTGATTTCAAAGATCTATTTCTGAGAGGTGAATATAAAATCCATGAAAGAGGCAAAAAATTTACCATTGAAAGATGATCAACAGACAATCTTTCACCTGCTGCATCTTTCCTCTCCAGAACCTACAATAAAAAAAAAGCAACAACTGAACAATATCAACTGACAAATACTAATCATTAGAAAAAGGGGTAAATGATAAAGATGCTTTAGACCTTGCACCATGACTGTGAAAAAGCCATTGACATGTTTTTAATGAGATTTTTCATAAGACAAGTCATTTTCATTAGAAAGATCAGAAATCTCACATAACATTCCTGAATGAAACCAAAGGGAGAAAAAGCTAATAGTATACATGACAATTAGAAAGTGAAAACAAAACCTTAAAAAGGAAGACAAATGGAATTAATTTTTTTCTAATGTTTTCATTTTACAAAAACAAAAGACTATTGATAAAAATAGCAGTCATGACTCAATACAAAACGTCAAGATCTCAGGTTCAAACAAACAGCTCTGAAGATGTTAAAGGTTAACTTCATAACCAATCACCAATCTATTCTGTATATTTAAGAGAAGGCAGAGTCCAGTTCACCTTTTGATTCACCAAGTAATACAAATTAAAAGAATACAACTGATGCGAAAAACATACATCCCACAAGGATGAAACTTTTCATTGCATGAGTAACTGTAAACTGTAAACCTAATATCAAAATTAATTCAACCACCAAATGATATTAGACTGCAAGCATAGTGTTGAATAAAATACTGGACACTGCTTTGCATACACTAATTAGATACATATCAATGCACAAATCAAAGTAAGCCATAAGAGACTAATAGATTTGAACAGATTTATGTAAGCAAAATAAGAAACATGCAACTAACAATATGCGCACATACAAGTAAAAGCATGTAACTAACTGCAAGCCATGCGGTACGCAAATAGCAATAGAACATCCACATTAATAACAGCATGAAAGGTCTGTCTCTATCTCCTACTGCTTTCCCCTAGCACCAAAACAATGGATAGAAGGTAGATATATTTCTCTAAGAAATTTACATTTATCTTAATGACCTTCAATTGTACATTAAATCCATACATTTTTGATACAGTTGCTTAGAAACCTTTTTATTCACAGACCAAACCCTTAATCATTGTAATACCAGCTTACAGAACATTATTCAAGTCAATCACTGAATTTCGTGACAAATATAGTTAATCAAAGGCTAACTTCCAAAAGTTTGTAACCCATGCTGGTCCGTGGCTGCATATCTAAGTCAATACATAAACTCAAAGTGCATTCAGAGCTAAACACTCCACAACATAAGAAAATCTACCAACAATCTCCATAGCATTCCAAAACCATCTATCTCAATTCCAACAAATCAACATATTTAACCTAGAAAAGCAAGAACCAATTGCATACAAATTTGAATAACATATAACCACAAAAAAGGGATACCCTAAAATTTCTCAACGCAAGCATATCACCTTAAGAAACTAAACAGACACCAAAAAGAACCAAACTTTATGAACCAAAACCACTAATTTCAATCTCATTGCTTGCAAAACAGAAAATTGAAGAAACCTGAGCAACAACAGCAGCAAAAGACATCCCAAGATGTAATGCACTAGCCTCGACATTACCATCCCCTACACCGCCCCTGTGCCTCAGCGGAGCAAAAACCACCTTGGGGCTTCGCCGTTTGTATGCCACGTTCGAAATTCTATTCATGGAGGCAGTAACAGAGGAAGAAGAAGATGACGAAGGCGGCGGCGGAGGCTTTATGGTTGTGTCTTTAAAGATTCTTTTCTTCTTCTTTCTGTATGTGGGTTTAAGGTTATAACCATTCTCCACCGCTGGATATGAATGATCAGTGGGGGTTGGTTCTTGGATCGTCAGAGAAGGAGATGGATCGGTGTCCATGGAAGAGAAGAGGAGGCCTCAACGACCACTTCTTTTAAAAATCTCAAAATTATTACCAGAGGGAGAGACAGTGAAGCTATGACAATCGGAAACAACAGAGCGTCTGTTGGGGCTTTTTCTTAACGTCCAAGGATGTTTTTTCATCGTTTGGACTGTCTCTCTGTACTGTTTAGTACTTGTGATAATTAAGTTTAGTACCTGTACTTTTACTTTTGTTCTGACTAGTTTTCGTGTATGTATTTAAATGCATTTATTTTTTTAGTGGGTACTTAACAGTATGTTAATTATTATTTTTTAAAATATTTTTTAATATTCTCATATTAAAATGATAAAAAAACAAAAAAAATTAATTGTAAATAAAAATAAATTAAAATTTTTTAAAAACATAATTTTAAACATGTTATCAGATAGCTTCATAGGTGGCATGTCACCTTTGCAGAACGTTTTTGTTCTAGTCTTAACAGTAAATATATAAAATCGATTCTCTCCTTAAAAAAGAAATTTAATACAAGAGAAAATCAATTTTTTTAAATAGCATGCCACATGGATTGACAGGATAAGATCAATTTTACCATATAAT